TTGTATATTGATCACATATCTTACAGCTTGGCTGAACTTACTAGTTCTAATGGGTTTTTTGTGGATTCCTTAGTATTTTCTGGACACGAGATCATGTCATCTACAGCTAGGGATAAATTTGCTTCTTCCTTTCTAATCTGAGCACCCTTTACTTTTTCATACCTAATTTTCTTAGCTAAAATCTCTAGTTCAGTGTTAGAAGGGACAAGAACAGGCACCTGCATCGTGTTACTGATACTGGGCAGGAGTGAGGGGGTAGCTTTCAGGTTTTTACCATCAAGTGTGAGTGTTAACTGTGGGGTTTTCTCAGGCTGATACCCTTTATCAGAATGAGAAGTTTCTTCTGTTCCTAGTTTATTGAATGCTTTTTATCATGAAATGGTGTTAGATTTGGTCACATGCCTTCTGCCTCAATTTATATGATTTATAGTTTTGTTCTGAGACAGAATCTTACTATGTCACCCTCGGTAGAGTGCTGTGGCATCACAGCTCACAGCTACCTCAAACTCTTGGGCTTAAGCGATTCTCTTGCCTCAGCCTCCCAAGTAACTCGGACTACAGGTGCCTGCCACAAGGCTGTTTTTTGGCTACAGTTGTCGTTTGGCAGGCCTGGCTGGGTTTGAACCCGCAGCTCTAGTGTATGTAGCTGGCACCCTAGCAGCTGAGCTACAGGCACTGAGCCATGTAGTTTTGTTCTTTATTCTATTGACGTGGTGTAGTTCATGTTGAACTCAGCTTTCATTCCTGGATAAGTCCACTTAGTCATGGTGTATAATCTTTTTTATAGGTTGCTAGATTGAGTTTGCTAAATTTTTTTTTTTTTTTTTGAGATAGAGTTTCACTTTCTTGCCCGGGCTAGAGTGCTAGAGCATCAGCCTAGCTCACAGCAACTTCAAAGTCCTGGGTTCAAGTGATCTTCCTGCCTTAGCCTCCTGAGTAGCTAGAACTATGGCACCTACCACAATGCCTGGCTAGTGCCACAATGCCTTTTCTATTTTTAGTAGAGATGAGGTCTTGCTCTTGCTCAGGCTGGTTTCAGACCCCTGAGCTCAAGAGATCCTCCTACCTTAGGCTCCCTCAGTGCTAAGAGTATAGAAATGAGCTGCTACCCCTGGCCTAGAATTTGTGAGAATTTTATTAAGGACTTGTATCTTTATTCATAGGAGATATTGGTCTATAGTTTTCTTTTTCTTGATTTTTTTTTGGGGGGGGTCTGGCTTTGGTATCAGGGTAATAGTAGCTTCATAGAATGAATTAGGAAGTGTTCCTTACTCTTCTATTTTTTGGAAGTGTTTATAAAGTGCAATTCTTCTTTACACGTTTAGTAGAAATCACCATAATGCCATCTAGTCCTGGCTTTACTAAGGGAAATTTTTTGATTACTATTTCAATACTTACTATAAGTCTATTTCAATGCTTACTATAAGTCTGTTCAGATTTTCTATTTCTTTTTTTTTTTAGCCAGGGCTGAGTTTGAACCCACCACCTCCAGTGTATGGGGCCAGTACCCTACTCCTTTGAGCTACAGGGGCCACCCCAGTTTTTCTATTTCTTTATGAGTCAGTTTTGATGGTTTGTGCCTTTGCAGGATTTTGTCTATTTCATGTAGGTTATCTAATTTATTGACATATAAATGTTCATAGTGATGTTACTCTTTCATTCCTGATTTCAGTAATTTGAATCATCTTTTTTCTGGCCAGTCTGGTTAAAGGTTTGTCAGTTTTGTTGATCTTTTGAGAGAATCAACATTCAATTTTTTTAATTCTCAGTAATTTTTACATACTAACCTTGATTCTGTCTGCTTGCTTTAGATTTAATTTGCTCTTCTTCTTTTTTTTTTTTTTTTGAGAAGTAAAGTTATGTCATTGGTTTGAGATCTTTCCACTTTTTACATAGGCATTTATAATTATAAATTTCTCTTTAAGAACCGTTTTCCCTCCCATGAGTTTTGGTATGTTACAACGTTTTCATTCATCTCAAGATATTTTCTAATTTTATGATTTCTTTTTTAACCCATTGATTATTAATATGAAGTAGGGTATTTGACTCCCACAAATTTATGAGTTTTCCAGTTTTCCTTCTGTTGTTGATTTCTAATTCTATTCCATTGTAGTTGGAGAACATCACATGATTTTTGTCCTCTTAAATGTATTAAGTCTTGTTTTATGGCCTAACATATGGTCTGTCCTGGAGAATGTCTTCTGTGCACTTCAGAAGAATGTGTATCTTAAATGAATATATATATATATTTGTTTTAAATCACATTTGGGAGGACTCCTGAACATAACATTCATATATTGTCAAATAGTCTTCCTGCCTATTTATCCTTCTTCTCTCCTTCTGGCACTCCCATTATACATGTATTGGTCTGCTTGATGGTATTCACAGGTCTCTGAAGCTCTATTCATTTTTCTTCATTGTCGTTTCTTTTCATTCCTCAAACTAAGTAATTTCAGTTGACCTATCCTCAAGGTTGGTGATTTTTTTCCTTCTGCCTGATCAAATCTGCTCTAGTGAATTTTAGTTACTGTACTTCTCAACTCCAGAATTTCTATTTCATTCTTTCTAACTTTTTTTTATAAGCCAGGGACTTTCTCTGTCATTCCAGCTGTAGTACAGCAGAACACTGTCATAGCTGACAGCAACCTTGAACTTCTGGAGCCGAGACAGGGTCTCACTATGTTTCACAGGCTGCTCTCCAAATCCTGGCCTCAAATGATTCTCCTGCCTCAGCCTCCTTCATTGCTGGGATTATAGACGTGAGCCACTGTCCCCAGCCCTTTTAAACCATTTTTCTCTCTTTGTTGATATTTTCTGGTGAGAAATCATTTTTATACTTTAGTCTTCTAGATAGCTTTTAAAAACTTCTTTGTAGGCATGGTGCCTATGGCTCAAAAGGGTAGGGCCCAGAGGTGGTGGGTTCAAACCCAGCCCCGGCCAAAAAAAAAAAACAACTTCTTTGTATATATTTTTAAATAGCTTTTTAAAACACTTTTGTCTAATAAATCCAGTATTGGGATGTTCTCACAGAGAGCACAGAGACTAACAGAGAGTTAGTCTCACAGAGAGTTTCTATTGGCCACATTTTATTGTGTGTGTATGGGCCATACTATCTTGGGTTTTTTTTTCTTTTTGTGTGTCTCATAATTTTTCGTTGTTATTATTGTTGAAAGCTGGACATTTAAAATAATAATATTACAACTCTAGAAATCTGATTCTTTACTCTTCGCAGGGTTTGTTGTTGCTGTTTATTATTTTAGCTTGTTTATTTAGCAACTTTTCTAAACCAATTCTGTAAAATCTGTATTCTTTGTTGTGTGTGGCCACTGACGTCTCGGCTACGTTAGCCTAAGTGTCAGCTAATGACTGGACAGAGATTTTCTTAAATGCCTGGTCTGATAGTTCTCCCAGCCTTTGCCGAGGGGTTCTGTGTGTTGGGGTAAAACCAGGCACTTTACCACTATACATTTGCCTTTACTTATTACTTTCTCAAAGCCTCACAGTTAAGCAGAGATGGCATTTCCTGACATGGAACAACCCTGGGCACAGCCCTACGTATGCTTGTGGTCTCTTAGTTTCCAACAAGTACATAAGAGCTGTTCAAAGCCCACTGTGGATATCTCATTCCCCAGATTTTCTTTTTAAGCTTTTGGCTAGCCTGTTGCTTGCCCCAGCTGTTATCTGCCACCTCCACTTAGCATGATTTAATAACTGCATCTGTTTTCAACAACCCCCACCCCCCATCAAGGAAAAAGGTGCTTGTGTTGGGTTTCGGGTTCAAGTAAAATAAAGACCACCTTAAAAGTGGGATCTTTTTGAAAACCACCGTGACAGTTCCATGGGAATGGACTTGGCAGGTCCTCCAACTCGGTCATGTCCCTCTGGTAACTGCTAGGCTGCTGTTTTTGCTTTGATTGTTAGCTACTATTTTTCACTGTGATTGAAGGCTGCCAGCTTTCAAAGCTACCCCAGAGCTGGTGAAAGGAATATAAACAGGGAAAGGTAGAACTCCACAAAGTTCACAGTTCTTACTGAGCTCCAGCTGATTTTCTTAAGTAGATACTCCTTGCATTTCTATAAACCTTTGGTTAATTTTCAGAATTCTGAAAAAGGTTTCATCTGACCATTGTAGCCATTGTTTTCTTTGTTTTTATAGAGAAGAAAATCTTCAAGGGTCCATCCCCCACCGTTTTGTTGACCAGCAGGCGGGTTTTGAACCTGTATGTGCACACCCATACTCATTGGTTTGTTAAGGACACTGTATTTGTTAAGTGCTCAGTGCTTACTGAGGGCACTTTTCCTTCATTAAATTATGTGTGCATTCCCTAGGTAGGGGCCAGTGAGATCTGGACCACCAGCCAGTCCACCCACATTAGTCTTACACCCGCCATAGCTAAACGACCTTCGAGCAAAGGAGCCAAGGTTTCCAGAGCACCAACTGTGTGCCTGGCTCTGCATGTCGGATGTTTTTTATAGACTATCCCATCATTCTTGCAACAACCAAGAAAGAGATAATTTTCCCATTTAACAGATGAAGAAACTAATCACATGTAAAGCACCAAGCACCTTGCTGGCTGCTGCACGGTAGCAAATTCTGTGTATGTTGATTATTGTTACATTGTTGTTGTTACTGCTACAACTGCTATTGTCAGAGGAAGAAGTGGACTTGAGGGAATTGCTGGAGGTCACTTGACTTCCAGCCTAGGTCTCTCTGATTCCAAAGCTCATCTGTATCCCACATCCCCATTCCTGCTCATCTGGGTAAATCTGTTCTCATCCTGGGTCAACTTTCTTGATCATGTCTAATGAAGGATTTAAACTGACTAAAATTATTCAATCAACAAACACTGAATGGTCTTGCTATTTCCAGAGTGACATATGGAGGGCTGTGATTCTGTGAGGTCAGTTGCTTGGAGTCACCTGGGTGACTTATTTCACTTGAAAAATAAACTGTCAAGTGTATAACCACCTCCTTCTTATTCTTCTCCATCCCCCTGCAGAGGCAAGAGGGGACAAAGCCAAGTGGCTGTTCACCTGGCCGCTCATCTTCCTCCTGTGTGTCACCATTCCCAACTGCAGCAAGCCCCGCTGGGAGAAGTTCTTCATGGCCACCTTCATCACTGCCACGCTGTGGATTGCTGTGTTTTCCTACCTCATGGTGTGGCTGGTAAGTGCAGGGTGGGGGTGAACTATACCAACAGTCCCTGCCCAGCTCTGCCAAGCAGAGGAGAGGCCATCGGACTCGAGGACAGCCACAGGCACTATAGTGCCACCTTTGGGCAAGTCACTGACTTCACTAACTAAAGCTTATTTCTCAGGAGAAAGGGTTTTAGCGGGTGCATGGTGCTGCGCTGTATACCAGGGATGCCGTGTACAGTGCTTGCCTTCAAGCATGCGGGAGGAAAACGAACCCTCACGTGGGCAGCCTGAGACACTCCATTCTGGTGGGATGGGCAGAAGAATGTGACAAAATAGCTGATCACTAGGCCCCCTTCATTTCTAGGGTCCAGGGAATGGAAGGCAGGGGGCTGGAGTCAGTGAGAGATGATGATGAACACGAGGCGGCTCTTTCCATGCCCCCATCTATATGCCAGGCACAGATTTAAGCACTTCACATAAGTTCTTCTTAAAATCCTCATAACAATTCCATGGGATAGGTATTATTATTACCATTTTATACATGGGGAAATTGAGGGATAAAGAGATTGAGTCATTTCCCCAAGGTTACACAATTAGTGAGTACTATAGTTGGGATTAGAACCCAGGGGTTCATCCCCTGAGTCCATGATATCAACCACTACCCCCAGCTCAGTTTGCTCCTGGAGTTTTCAGATGCCAGCAGACGGGAGTTTTGCAGGAGGAGAGCCATCTGTGTAGCTCCTTGTAAGCTCTCAAGGCCACAGGCAACAACTTGTCATATAAACCTTTGTGGCCAGGTGGGGCTGGACTGGGTCAGGCCATGCAGGAGCCCTCTTCCTGTTCTCTGTGTACCTTGCAGTGGGGTTCCCTCTTCCTCCCCTCTTCCCCCCCTCTTCCCCAGTGGGGAGCCTGGGAGGAGGGAGAGAAGAAGTGGTTACTGCATAGCTGTGTTTCTCTTGATGGCAAAGCTCACCTGTCAGCCCTTCACACCTTGGTGGTTATCACTTAGTCATTTCATTTTCCTCCTAACACCTGGAACCAGCAGCAGAGAGGCAAGCAAGTCTTGATTTGAGAGATAGCAGGGCCAACAGATGCTCCTTGTAAGCACAAAGGCAGCCTTTCCCTTAACTCCAGAGGAAAGATGCAGTTTGGTGGGGAACCCAGGGCTGCAGGATGAGAACAGATTTATAGCCCAGTCCTACCACGTGTGAGCCGTGAAACCATATAGGGCAAGTGACTCGACTCTCTGAGCCAAGGTGACCCCCTCTGCGATGTGGGAGTGATCACTGCTTTCTTACAATGCTATTAGGAAAATGAAAAGAGAGCCTAGCATATTACAGCCACTTGGTCAATCCTGGCTCTTCCCCCACCCAGCCTGTCACCTGTTCCCCTGTCCCTCCCAGGTCTCTATGTGTTGTGAGCCTGAGCAAACTGCTGCTGTGATCAATGTGTGGGAGCTATTTTGCTGGTGGGAGAGGGCCTTTCCTGACATCCCCCCTTAGCTGCTCCCTCGCTTAGAGGTACTCCAGGGAGAAGCACAGACAAACTGGGGTGCTTCTTCAAGCACCTGGCCCCAGCCCTTCTGAGGGTCCTTAAACCTCCCACTAGCGCACTGACTTCCAGTCCCTATGGCAGGGACTCCCCATGACCCCAGCTGGTGGGAGGCACTGCCTCAACCTGCTCCCTTTCCCCCTTTTACCTGGGACTTCCTTTAGAGCTCTGTGTCCAGAAAGGAAGCTCAGGACTCACTCTGTGGTGGTCTTTTAATGAATAGGACAAGCCATGTGACTCAGAGGGGCAGAACCAGTCTAAGCCACCAGGCCCCAGCATCTGCCCCGTCTCACACACCTGGCACTTCCTGGCCTTGGTTTAGCTAAACTGGGGACATGGGGGCCCCCAAACCTCCAAATCCCCCATGATCTCACCTGACCTGCTCTCTTCCATACCTCACCCCTAATCCACTCTGGTTTGGCCTTGTCTAAAGCAGCCGGTAGTCAGTCACTGACTGCAACCAACAGCCAGTTAGGGCTGATTACCTGGTAGCAGTCTGATGATCATGAACATCACTGAGTAATAGACAGTGTGGCCACCAAGTGAGAGATCTCTCATACTGCCCTCTCATGTCAGATTAATGTTTATAAATAGCATGCCCAATTTTTCAACCTAATCTTACTTTGTCTCTGTTCAGTATGATCTTAGCTTGTGGCATGACTGGCTGCTTATAACTATAAACATTAGCCACTTTCATCATGAGGTGCAGCCAGTACTCCTCCCAGACTTTGTTCAGTGAGGATTAAAATCTCTGTAGCTGTGTGTGTGTATGAGTGGGGAGAGACCTAGAAGTACTTACCATCTAAGTAACAGAAGGCAATCAAAGGTGATAAAAACAATGCTTTAAATGAATTTATAAATTTTAATTTTTTTAGTGGAATTACAGGCCAGCCCATCTTTGCATTTTAGAGAAAGTATCTAGGCCAGCCATGGTGGTTCATGCCTGTAATACTCCATGTTTGTTGGGAGGCTGAGGCAGAAGGATCACTTGAGGCCAGGAGTCTGAGACCAGCCTGGGCAAGAATGAGGTCCCACCTCTAAAAGAAAAAAAAAAGAAAGAAAGGAAAAAAGAGCTGGGTGTGGCACACCTATAGCTCCAGCTACTTGAGAGGCTGAGGCAGGAAGATCACTTGAGCCCAGGAGTGAGGTTGCAGTGAGCTATGATGACACCACTGCACTAGAGCCCAGGCAACAGAATGAGACCCTGTCTCACAAAAAAAAAAGGTGGGGGGAGGATGTATCCAATGGTTTCTCTTACTAAAAATATATTCCTTAAACCATGTTATAAATAAAAAAAAGTATCTCATGACATTTGAGTGGTTATGAGACTTAGGAAGATCAAATTAATTGTGTGGAATTATTTCTTCTCTAATTACAGAAAATAACAGTGATATTACTCGGTTTCTGCTGATTACCACTGAGGCCAGACATTCCCACCCCTTCTACCTTGACTTACAAATTCCACCCCCATTTCTTAAAGCAGAGGGACCAGGGACCACTTTGCTGGAGTGTTCTTACCAGTGGTTTTGAACTTCAGGTAGTTTCAGTTTGGAGGAATAGAATGACCTTGCCAGTAAAAATCCATAAAGAAGATCACACCCTTGTTATTCTTTATCTCTGCCAAAGCAGGGCGTCCCACCTGAGTGTCATGCACTTACTTTCATCATGCCCCGATGAGGTGCCAGGGAGCAGGGAAGTCCCATCTGCCATCCCCTACCTCCACAACCTTTAACATCCCTCATCTCCAAGTATTGGAAGAATGATTCTTGAATGTCAGAGTCAAAAGGGAGGGACTTTAGAAATGGATTGTACATTTCCTCAGCACACTTCACAGTTGAGGAGATGGACTTCTGCAAGGTCATGTGGATAGTCTCAGGCAGAGCCAGGACCAGTCCCTGAGCCTTGGACTCAGCATTCTTCCCTTTCTGAAGCCTTGACTTCAGGAGGGCTCAGAGGCAAGAGTAAAGCTAGGCTTGAGTAGCATCCCTGGGCTAAGCACCTGTATAGCATGTGCATCTACACACAAAACTTTCTTTCCTCTGTCCTTCCAAACTTCAATTTCTGAACCATATCATAAATTATTGAAAAAAAAAAAGCCATCCCAGCAATTCCAAAATAACCCAGTTTCCCACCCTTATGATGTCTTAATAATAGGAATATTTCTTTAGTCCACATGCTCTGGGTTGTTGTGAGTTCATGTCTCCACCTCCTGTTCTGCAGGTGACTATTATTGGATACACGCTTGGGATCCCTGACGTCATCATGGGCATTACTTTCCTGGCAGCAGGGACGAGTGTTCCAGACTGCATGGCCAGCTTAATTGTGGCGAGACAAGGTACAGATCATGTGTCAGCCCCCACAGCCATCACCACCACTGTGCAGGTCCCCTTGTTGTCCCTTCCCAAGTTATAGTTGGCTAAGTTGTGGTTCTTAGGACTGATAGTTGCTGAGTCCTGCTATGGAGAAAACTGTGACATCTAGAAAGCATTGTTTATTAGCTTCCACTGTGGAGAGAATGCTACCACAATGAATGAATGAACTGATCTTGAGACGCTTTTGTTGGAGTGGTCGTATAACATGTTCTGAGTTTGAGATTGAATAAGCCCAGATTTTATACAGCAGATAAGCTGTTAACAAGAAATGTTCTCATCCCAGGGGGACAAAGTGGGTCCTACACATCCAACTCTTATCCAGTTCTTCTAGTTTCTAGAACATGTATAATGTTAGCAAGGTTTGTGTGGTGGCCTTTGTTTGGGGCTTACTAAATGTCACAAGCAGAGTGTGATGAGGCAATGATGGCAAGGCAGCTGTGAGGGTCAGGGCTTCGTTCACGGCCCCTTTCATGCCAGTGAGGCAGCAGTGCCCCACCGTGGACTTGCACAGCCCGTCCTCACAGGTCAGAGGTTGGAGGCAGAGGGGTGGGGACAGTGTCTGTTGGAGCAGACTCTCACAGGAGAGAGAAGAAGGGAACAGTGCCCTAAGAGAAAGATGTGATAAAGAGAAAGGTTGGGAGTGTATTTGGAAGTGGGCAGGAGCCTTATAGAGAATGGGGACAGTTAGGGACAGCAGCTAAGGGGAGTGAAATGTGTGAGTGTATTAGTTTCCTAGGGCCACCATAACAGCTGGTGGCTTATAGCAACCAGGTGACTTAAAACAGCAGATACTAGTATCTCCCAGCTCTGGAAGCTAGAAGTCTGAAATCCAGGTGTTGACAGGGCTGGGCTCCTTCTGAAGGATCTAGGGATCCTTGCCTCATTCTGGCTTCTGTGGCTGCCTACAATCCTCAGTGTTCCTTGGTTTACGGCTGCACCGGTCCAGTCTCTGCCTCTGTCTTCACAGGGCATTCTTCCCCGTGTGTGTGTGTGTGTGTGTCTGTGTCCAGACTTTTTCTTATGAGGGCACTGGTCATCAGGTTAGAACTCACCCTAATTCAGTATGACCTTCATAATTCTATTACATCTGTGAAAACCCTTTTTCCAAATAAAGTCACATCACAGATTCTGGATGGACATGAATTTGGTGGTGGAAGTGCCCCAGGTATACTTCTTCAGCCCAGTACAGTGAGCAAAAGGAAAGCTGATGCACACGAAGCGTCTGGCTGACGTTCAGTAACGTGAACTTGGGTAGGATTCAGCCACTCCAGTGCCAGCCATGCACAGATGACACATTTGTCCCTAGTTGGAGTTGGCTGGGTGGACACTATGGAAGAAGGTCAAGGGGCAGGAGAAAGTGCAGTTGAAACAAGTGGCCCAGGAGTTCAGATTGGGAGAGAAGGGCATGATGCTAGAACTTAAAGACTTGTAGGGATGGGGGTCCCAGTGAGGTTAGCAAAGTGTCTCTTTTAGGAACAAGGGACAGATGGAGCTCTGAGGCAAAACATCATCTCAGAGTGGCTACAGTGAAATGTATTATAGAAATCGAGAAAAGGTGAGGCCAGGGATGAGGTGCATAATTGGTCTAGGAGTGACATGTGATTGACAGGAACCCCAACAGACATGGTTAAAGAATACACAACTTCTTGACAACAAAGGGTACAGAGATCTCTGTTCAGAGCCTGCTGCCTAAAGCAGGAAGCTACCAGGTAGCTCTGATGTAGAGGTCCTGCCTCCTGGGCTCCCTGCAGCCTCCCAGCTCTGAGTGTGGTCCCAGGTGCAAGCCTGAGCTGGCACCATGGGCTTGGCCTGGGAGCTTGTGAGAAATGCAGGCTCTCAGGCATTGTCCCAGACCCACTGATTCAGATCTGCATTTTAACAAGATCCTTAGATGATTCATGTACACGTTAGAATTTGAGTCAAACTGTCCTGAGGATCCTCAAGGGTCACACAGCTGCTAGCAGCCTCACAAGTGTACCTAGCCCAAGAAGCATTCATCTCTCCTTTCCAAATGCAGCATCTTTGTACCCTCCCGACCTGTCCCACAAGTGCTTGCCTCCTCACCAGGTACATGTAGCCCAGCCCCAACAAATGCTGCATGCTCCTACAACTCACCAGAGACTGGGAGACAGGCAGGCTGGTTTCCCAGAGATACCACCTCTAACAGGACTAAGCTGCCAAGACTTTGGAGTCTGGAGTCTCCCTGAACAGTGCCTGGGGCAGGCAGGGAGGAGGGATGTGAATCCAAGCGTAGGACCCTTGAGGGAGGCGTGTCCTGGAGGTCAACAGATGACATCAACACACAGGGGAGTGGGAGGTGACCTGGCGATGCAGGCAGGGTGGGAGGTTGGTCAGATTGAGGTGGGCCACCTGTCCAGATGCCAGCCTGAGATGCTGCCGAGCTGCTCAGCTACCAAAGCAATGGGGCGGCTACAAGCATTTGTATTTCAAGCTTGCTTGTTCCAGGAACATTTGTATGTGAGCAAGTTAGGATAGTCATATCAAAGTATGGCTAAGTGGTCAGGCTGGAACAGATTTCAGCCAGCATGAATCTTATTTATAAAAATTTTCTTTCTTATATGCCTCTTGACTCAGTAAGTTCCTTGGATTGTGCCATGGTGCTGGACAGTTGGACAGGAAGGGGGAGAGGAATGATGTGGGCCCCAACTCCTGAGATGCATCTGGTCTGGTTGGAGAAAGGGAGTTCATCCCTCAGAAACCACCAGGACATGACATTTGACGCCCTAAGATCCCAGCCAAGCTCATAAGGGCCCTTGCCTAGGCCACACAGTATGACTTGGTATAAAGGATTCTGAACCCAGAGTCCTGAGACTGGCCCACTCACAAACTGTGCCCTGGGGCATGTCCCAAGCCCCAGTTCCATCATCTGCCATGTGAGGATAATGCCCCACCGCACACCCCCAGAGCAACTGGGGGGATAAATAAGACAGTTTGTGGTGGGTCCTCAGAGGACGTCAGCTGGTGGACTTGGCATCATTACCACAAACCAGGTGACGTAAACAATGGAAATGTATTGTCCCACAGTTCTGGAGGCTAGAACTCTGAGATCCAGAGGTGGGCAGGCTTTGTTCCTTCTGAGGGCTCTGATGAAGAGTCTGTTCCAGGCCCCTCCTCGTCTCTCTCTTTGGCCATCTTCATTTTTGCCCAGCATTCTCTTTGTGTGTCGTCCATGTCCACATTTCTCCTTTATATAAGAACATCACATTGGTTTAGGGCCTACCCTGATAACTTCATTTTAAGCTGTCACTTCTGGAAAGACATAATCTCCACATAGAGTCATGCACGATCTGAAGTACTGGGGCTTAGGACATCAGCATGTGGGACTTCAACCCACACAGTGCATTCAGATTTCATGAGGGAGTGGACCGTAAGCCTCGCAAAAGGGTTTTAAAATCCTAGGGTCCGTGAAGAAGGAATCCCTTCCTACGGTATAGCACTGAGGGAATGGTTCTAAGAAAGAACACAGGTTTCTGAAGCCTGCTCTTAGTGAAAGAAATGTGTTTGTTGTCCTCTCCAGGCCTGGGGGATATGGCGGTCTCCAACACCATCGGAAGCAACGTGTTCGACATCCTGGTGGGACTTGGCATACCGTGGGGCCTGCAGACCATGGTTATCAATTATGGGTCCACGGTAAGTTCCTCCCACCTGATGAGTAAGTGAGATGTGCGCATTTTACCAAGAAGGATAGTAGTGTTGGCCAGTGTCAGGGGAGGAGTTGGGAGATGCACTGCCCCTTCTCCTTGGCACCCTGGCATCTGCTGTCCCCACTGTCCATGAAGTCTTCTGGGACAGACCAGGGGTGTCTGCCGGAGGGGCCCATGTTTGCTGGGTGCCCCTGCTCCTCATCTCCATTTGCTGGTACAGCATCTGCATCCCAGGCCATCTCCTCAGACCAGCAGAGTAGTGACTTGAGTGCATGCCTGTCTGGCCCTCCACGGCCACACACTCACTCGTGAACACCTATGTTTATTCTGGAATGAATCAACTGGAGCACTCTGAGCCCTCAGGAGGGATTGGCTTCTAGCAGACCAGAGACTCAGGGCCGTGTGTTTGATTTTACAGGTGAAGATCAACAGCCGGGGGCTGGTCTATTCCGTGGTGCTGTTGCTGGGCTCTGTTGCTCTCACCGTGAGTTTTTAGAGTTTGTACTTTAATACATCTAATTCTGCCTTGTCACTTATATGGCTCTGTGCACCTCCATCATTTCCCCCATCAGTGAGGGAGAAAGCCCAGGAAACGTGCATATTCACAGGAGCCCCAGCCCAGTTTTTGCCAAGAGCATCAGCAGCCCAAATAAGCTTTTCCTTGAGCAAATAAGCTGCCAGAGGAAGTGAAGCACATTTCTGTTCTTCTTGCCACCTGGTCTGGTCTCCTCTCAAGTGCCTGGGGAGAGAAGTCCTCCCCTCTACCTGAGCTGGTAAATGGAGGTGCGACAGTCTTCAGGACGAAACATCACAGTAACTAAGGCCACCCAGCCTCCCTCACGGGTTGGTCTGTACGGAGTACTTTACTTCTATATCACTTTACAGGTTCACTCCTTTCAACCACCTGGAGGGGGAGGTAACATTGTTACTCCCATTGTGCAGAAGAAATCAACTTAGCTGAGGTTGCAGAGTTGGGAAAAGGCAGAGCTAGGATTTAAACCGAGCTTGGTCTGTCCTTAAAGAACCCATGCCATGATTCCTTACCCCATGCTCTGATGAGGTGCCTAGGCCCTCAGAAGGCAGGCAGTGTAGGGAAGCAGAGGAGAGTCAGGGAAAAATGTAGGACAGGCTATGCTCCACCTCTGCCCCAAACATACACACACAGACACACGTGCGAGAGATGGCCCAAGTGGGACTTTGCCAAGCCAGCGGTCTTGAGGAGTCTTGGCAAATTTGCTGAGGAGTCCTGAGGATAAAAGACCATAAGGCCACGTTCAAAAGTGCAAGGAACATCCAGATAAAGACCCCATTTGTCCCTAAGGAATGCCTAAGGAGAGAGGACCATGGTGCTTACAGTCAGGCTGGGGGGAAGTGGCACATCTGTCCAGGTAGGGCTGGCCCATGAGGGGAACTACTGTGCATCCCAAGTTGGCAGGGCTGAGACAGGGGCTGAGACTCCCCCTTTCAACAGAGAGGTCTAAACCCTCTGGAGCTTATTCCAGTCGAACTGAGGATCAGCCTGGTGGTGCCCCTCTGCTCCTGAACACATCCTGCAGAAAGTTCTGCGGTCCCCGACTCAGGTTTCATTTTGCAGTAGAAATGCCTTTTTCAGTTTTGCACCTGAGCCCAGCTGCCATGCTCTCTCCTTCCCAGGTCCTCGGCATCCACCTAAACAAGTGGCGGCTGGACCGGAAGCTGGGCATCTATGTGCTGGTTCTCTACGCCGTCTTCTTGTGCTTCTCCATCATGATAGAGTTTAACGTCTTCACCTTCGTCAACTTGCCAATGTGCCGAGAAGATGATTAAAGCCGGGCTGCTTCCTCTGGGAGCTGTTCTGCACACCCTGTGATGCCTGCGTCCTCCTCTCCCCTCCTTCCCCCACCACAGGTCTCTCCTGCATTGGCAGCCACCGTCTGTTCTTTCACACACTGGAAGGAAGAGCCATCGTGGTCTTTGTCTGGTCACAGGTCAGGCTGCTGGGCGTCCTTCTCCTCCGTGGAGTTCTGCCTCTGCAAGGCAGGATCAAAGGACTGTTATATGAGCAGCTTTGAAGACCTCTGAGCGGCCAGCCACAGGGCCGTGTCAAGTGTCTCATCTGTCTCCTGCACACCTTCATCAAAAAGACTTCCGTGTGCAGCTTGTCTTTCTGTTACACAGGCAGCCTCAGCAATGAGGCGGTCAGTGAGCCTGAGGTCTCCTAGGGCAAGTGCAAAATAGGAATGTTGTTCTCAAGTCTCCTTTGGGCCAGAGGTGGCTCTTTGGACATGTGAGCTGCTGGGAGCCTCCCACTTCTGCTGGGAGCACCTGCATGGTTTGGAGGAGACAGGCTTCGACCTTTGGGGGTTTGGGACCGTGATGCCAGACATTTTCACCCCCTTTCCTGGAAAAATTAGAAGAATGGAAATAATTTTTTGCAGAAGAGAGAAAACAAGTGAATATTCTTCTCACTTTTATTGATGCATTCAGAGAATGAGCAGTGAAATATTAAAAATAAAACATCACATAGATCATCATACTTGAAAAATATCATTCCATACAAAAGGATCGTAACGCAGACCAAAAAGGTAGAAATGATTGTAGGGAAACAAATCCTCTGTGTATCATCTTGCATTGACTCGAAGACATTCAGTTTGGAACAGAGAGAAAGGAGAGAGACTAACAAATGGGTGCTAACTCACAGACAGGGGAGACTGTAGTTTATAAGCTGTACATTCCAGACCTTCTGTGCAATATGATGCACTGTTTATTGGGGTTTGTCATTTCTTTGTTAATGCTCTAGTTTCGTAACCACCCTGTTGAAAGACCCAATTATCTATATGCTCAGCAAATTTCACAGCCTGCTGAACTGGACTGAGTGTGCCAGAAAGGCTGGTTAATGACAAGAAGAGAGATTTCCTCAAAAATGACAGATTGCTCTCTGGTTAGATGAAGGCGGGTATGCAAACCATAACTCAGAATTTGCAGAGCTCAGTTTCTTGAACCATGTAGTTTGCTTCGCGTGAAAGGACCAACAGCGGGAGGCTGGTTCAAAGAGAGAAAAATATGAAACCACTTTCAACTGCTTCATAGCACTCAAATATATATTAAAAAGATTTATGAACACATACCATTCATGGTTTCTAAAAAGAAAGCACAGTTAATTTTATAGAGAGGTTTTTTTATTTTTTTAATATCTTTCGTGAAAGTCTATCAGATTTGATGCACTTTGAATATTGGGATATTTTGCACAAGAAGAATGTATGTGAACTACCCGGGAGGATGAGAGAGGAAAGGAGATTTTTAACGATTCACCCGAGTCGCTCTAAACTTGGTGATGAGTTTAAATCCAATAGCTGAACCCTTCCTGAGACACACAGATTGTGACCCACCCTGACATTTGTGACTGTGCTCTCTAAGGCCTCCTAAATTTCAAAAGGAGGAAGTGTTCAGACTTGTGTCCCTCACTTCCCCTTTACCAGGAGCCTACCATGGGACCTCACCCTCCTCACCAGGCTTCTATCGTGGGTTCACATCAGTATTAGTAGCTGCACCAAGTTAAGGTTTCTCTTTTGATTTCTTTACCCCCAAATTGGGCTCAGTGGTCTTCAAGTTGAGAACAAGGGTGATTTTCCTAAGAAAGTCACTAAAGAGGGGCCTAGGGATCCTGTAGGTTCATCACTGTAAACTTGAGCTACAGGGGGGTTCAGGGCCCACAGGACCACTCTGCTCTGCTAGTTTATCTGGTCCCTCCCATCTTCCAGGTTCTTCAGGTTCCAGAATCCTCTTGTCTTTGTTTTGGTTCTTCAGATTTCCCTGTGATGTTAAGTAGGGGTTATTCACCCCTTTTAATAGAAAACACAGTTTTGGGAGGTCACAGGACTCTAATTCGATGACAGAAGGGGACACGAGCACCACCAGCCTACCCACCTCCCAGGGCAGCCAGTCTATGACTGGCTGTCCCTGAGGAGTGAATGCGGGTATGATTTTGCCCTTGTGGTTGGCTCTTATTGTTCGAGTCAAAACCTCATCAATAGTTAATTGACGTTTGGGTTCCAGAGATCATATACTAATATCTGTCCCTATCCAGTGTCTCTATTTTTCCTTAAAAATGACCAAGAACTATTTTTAGCTGCAGCAAGGCACACATGGCCCCTGGTGGTGTCCCTGCTGGTTTTTAAGTTTCTGAATTCTTGTATAGCTGTTAGAGAACACATCTTAATTACCCTCCTCTTCCTCAGCAGAATCCATCTGAGATTATAATGCATACTGCAATTGCAATTAGAGACTAAAAAAAGGTTTAAATATGTAATGCACTCCTCCTGGCTAATTTTCTTTTGACTTTAATGTGCCAATGTAATTTCCTTAAAGGATCTATGCATTTATTATATCTAGGAAACTATAATATATGTAAACTATAGGTGAAAAAAAATCTCTTTTTTTACTAAATATTTTTCCATCACACCTTTAAAGAACTGCTTGATGAAGTAGGCCTTCATTTTTAAATTATGCTTTCCATCACTATGCAGGATTACTTCCTGGATTTTATTCCCAAAGCTAATTAGCATGGGATAAGTACTCTGCAACAAAAATAGGCAATTAAAAATAATAAATTTAGTTCTACTTATTGGGGGCAGAACAGAAAAAAGAACTATTGCTCTCAGATAGAAAATGTCTCTAGAGACAGGAGCAGGTAGTTCCTGTCAATTTCTGGTTTGGAATTTGTCTTCAGCCCAAGCATGGTTAGAGTGGAAGGATGCAGTGTCTGGAGAACCTGGCCCTGGGGGAAGGTTCTGGGTCAGCTGCAATGAGAGATGGGCGCTTGAGGGTTCTATGGGCAGGTCAGAGTCAGCCCCTCCCCACCCCTGTCCTTCCTATAACCCAGTGTGCCTGTCCCCTGTCAACCTGTGTCTCCACCTTGTACATGCACCTGGCTGCCCTTTTGAGTCTTCACCTGCTCGTTATCCCTTGCCTACTGGGACTAGCTTTTGTCCCATCTGTCCCCTTCCTTTATAGACCCAAGCAACTGATAAGACACCAGCCTTCTCTGAGCCAGGTTAAACCAGGTGGGGTATATGTATCACCGAGGGCAGTCAGTCCTGTGGACCACAGAGCCCACTGCTCAGGGTCTAGGTTTCTTCCACCTGCTCTTACCATATTAATGGGGAATTGTGAGCCTAAGAGCATCACCACTTAGAACACGGGACTCCCCACACAGACCAGGAATTTGGGAAAGGGGTAGATGGTGTCTTTGCTGGACACCCAGCTTTCCACTTGGCCATTTTTCTTAATGAATCCAGGGCTCCCTCCCTCCCTCTCCTGAAGGTGGAGGGTGAATGGAGACAAGAGGGACCAGGAGACCATCTGTTCATGCCCCCCTAGGGAATCCCAGCACCAGCAGCTAGCCCTGCTTTCCACACCCTTGCCCTCCCTTCCTCCCTCCCTCCCTTCTTTTCTCCCTCCTTCCCTCCCTCCTTCGTTCCTTCTCTCCTTCCCTCCTTCCTTAAGTTGAAATGAATTAGCGGGGCCTGAGGAATTGGCACCAGAAGGGTTCTGTTGCCACATTTTGGAATTTCACTCCAGCAGAAGCAGAGACCTTTCTGCCCTGGCTGAATGGGTCCCCCAGGCGAGGAGCTGGTCTCCTGTCCCTCATCTCCACCTCTGCTCCCCTTCCCTCCCCTTCCCTTCATCTCCACCTCTGCTCTCCCTGGCTGGAATAGGGGGAGCTGTGCTGCCCACATGATGGGCTCTCAGCAAATGCTTGTTGGTTGAATAAACAACTTGGGCCAATGATGGTGAAAATCCTCAGGAGATTGTACTCATAGGCTGTGCTTTAAATAGTCATGGCCTCCTCTCTAATGCCCTCCGGACATGATTTCCATGGGCGTCACCCTGCCCTGGGGACAGTCTGCAGATGTACCCAGGACACCTGAGGTAGTCCACCTCTTGGCAGCATTATTGCCACATCCTGCCCATAAAAATGTCTAGGAATTTTTGAAAGTGCTCTCTGGGCAGTCCTTGGGTGGCAGGAAGTCTCTCATCCCCCACCCAGCTGTGGACGTACAGTGCTGCGCTTGCCTGGTGCCCTCACAGATGTGAGCAGCTGCTCTGGGTTTTCTGGTCTCTGTAGCTCATGTTTTGAGCCACTCAACATGTAGCCTCCCCCAGGGCCTTCTCAAAGCACACAGGGGGCTCCTATACTTGGGGGAAATCGTCCCCACTGTGTCAGTTACATGGGAACAGAGGTGAGGGGGTCTTTCTCTGGGTCTGTCCCAGGAGGCAAAGAGCATGAGGCCTCACTGCTCACGCTGAGCTGCACCATTTGCCAAGCAAGCTTTTCGGGGCCCCTTCACCTTGCTGCAGGGAACTGCTCCCCCAAGGGCACACTCCTCAGGATGCCAATTTCAGAATGGCATTTGATATAGGTTGTTGTTTGTTAATAAAGAAAACAAGATTGGGACACTAGTTTTGTGCTTAACTCAGATGGCTGACGGGAGGAAGACATCCAGTCTGTCATGTGACCATGTGTCCAACTCAAGGAAATGGGTGCTCACATTTCAATGTGGGAGAAGAGACACTTTCCTCCTATTCTGCCAACGGGGTGGAGCTATCTTTTCAGGGAAGCCAGTGGGTGGTGTTAAAGCTTTGGCTATTTTATAGGGGGTTTAAAAATTCTAACTTTTCAATGACAGACGCCTCCCAGGTTCTGTCTCTACTAAATTCTCAAACACCTTGTGCACATGGCGTCTTCTTTTCCCTGTGTGTCTCCAAAGCCCTTCTCTGTCCAGTCTCACAGTGTCAGTGTCCAGTAGTCAGAGTTGGGTGTCTTCCTCCCTGTTCTTACCACGGGTGAAAACATGCTCTCCCCCAGCA